GTCCTTTTGTTTTAATATACTCAGAATAAGCAATTGGGTTTGAACCCAATTACTGTCAAAAGAAATGGTCTTTTAAATCAAGGCTGAAAAAAAAGTCAAAAAAGTTTTTCTCTTCATTTAGAAAAAAAAAAAAGATTGATTTTAAAAAATATTTCATGTAGTGTTTTTGGGAAATGCTGATATAGTTGCAATGAATATATTCTAAAAAGTAAAAAGAAAAATATAGTACGATGAATTTTTGTGCAAACGGCAATCTGCTGTAGTTTGGAATTTCTGAAACTCTGTGATAATTTATAAGAATAATAGGAAAGATAACGTATACCTGGAGTTTTATGATAACCTGCTTTATATGGTTTCTGTAGATAATCTTAACATTTTAGAAACAGGTTTCTCTTGGTTTTGCTGGAGAAAAGGGCTTTTGTTCCAGAATTTTATTATTGTACAAGCAGTTCTATCAATCTTGTAGCAGCCAGTCTTTCAATAATCACTGAATAGAATTTTTATTTTTCCTATTCTACTTTGATTTGCTTACTGTAATTTTTATTTGTCCCCCAACTCTTAAAAATCAGTTTGGCTAAATTATGTTAACACAACATAGAAACAACTATTGGGAGACAGATATTCTATCGAGTAGTTGTATTATAGGAAAACAATTTGCTATTACAAGTAAAATAACTAGTAGTGTTTCTTATAATAACCCTGCTTACAGTGGAAAAAGGAAGCTCCGCAGTTTTTGGAAATTTTTTAGTTAAAAAAATGTTTTCTTGATTTCTGTAAAGACATTTTCTTTTTCTGCATTCCCTTCATCTTTGCAAGTCTTGCCATTGTTTGTCAGGTGGAGCTGACTCCCTGGAAACTTTTTTCCTAGTTCCCTCAATTGAAAAAAGTCATCTCACCTAGATATCTGATCTAGATGGGATGTGGCAAGGGCTTACTAATTGCATCATGGTATCTTTTTGGTAATTACAATGTTTTCTACGAAACACTGACATTGTAATAAAAAAAAAACCCTAAGTAATTCTTACACATACAATGAAATGACTGAGACCAGATGGGGTAATGTTCTAAATTATATCCCTTTTAAATATTTCATCATTGTGTCTTCCATTGTGAAAGCTTGTTTTCTTACCTTTAAGACAGCTCTATCATATAAAAAACTAGGCTAGCAATTATTATTTTATTTTTTATTATACAGTCTGCCTAATAGGATTCTAGATGAAGCATTTATGGTGTGACTGGCTCCACATTCCAAATTCACTAGTCAGAACGCAAGATATTTCAATTAGTAAGATCTTTCATGACATGATTTATCATGTCATAATTCTTAAGTTAAAAATAATGGAAAGACGCAAGGTATTCTCCTTTTTGCAGCAGGAACTGTAACTGCAGCATGCAGTAATTTTTTTTCTCCTCTGCAAGTTTTTAGAACACAGGAGCTACTGGTCATAGATCTCGAAAGATTTTTTTCTTCTGTCTTACAAGAGGGGGGGGAAACATCTGTATTAGGAGCCAAAAAAGCAAACTCCTTATCTAGGCATCCAAGTCATTTAAAATACCTTTGGAATATATCGCTTCTTCCTTTTCCTTTGTATTTTGTAGTATTTATTAAAAATACCACCACAGATTCTGATAAAATGCACCCATTTGTTTCGGTGCTTATCCACTGTAAGACAGCCCAACTGCTCAGTTAAACCAAAACCTAGCAGTTGTACTTTCTGATTATCTTTTCCAAAGGTAAACTAATCCAAAATAAGTTAATCAGAGCTTTAGAGAGGACCTCTGTGAAGAAAATTAAAAAAAAAAAAAAAAGATTCCCTTAGAAACACATATAATCTAAGTTAGGGAAAGAAATACTATTCTTACAAAAACAAAAAAAAAAGTGTTGGTTTAACTGCTCAATTAACGACAAATGAATGAGGCTTCCAGCTACTTATCTCTGTAGTAAAGATCTGTGTGTGTGTCTCCATCTTTCCTCACTTATTGCATGTATCTCAAAAAACTGCATCTCACAAAAAGATTTGCCTGGTGTTATTTAAAACATATTGTATTCATTTTTAGAAATTGTTCCCCACTTTTCCCAAATCTGCCTCTTAGGGAGACCAGTTTGCCCAGGCTAGCCTCAGACAATCTTGTTTTATCATAGGAAGTCCTAGGGGCTTCCCCAGTCAAAAGCAAACGAGGACACACTGGTCCTTAACCCGCACTTGCTCTTTCTTACATTCGTGACTTCCTGTTTATTTGATATTAACTTTACATCTGAAACTGGTTGATCGAAATTGGAAATAATGGTTCAATCTCTCAGTGGATGGTAAGGTACGGTTCAAACACCAGCAGCTGCATCAGCAATATTTGGGAACTTGTTAGAAATGAAGATATTCAGGCCTCTCACAATCCCTACTGACTCCTAGACCTTAGTAGTAGGACTCCGAGTCTGTTTGTCTAACCCCTCAGGTGATCTGATACACAGGAATGTTTCAGGATTACTAGTTTGTAGTACCAGAACTGTGTTTGATTCATGAAAGTCTGCAATACCATGGATATCAGAGAGCCAAAAGAGCACAGAGAAAAGACCAAAGGGAACAGTGTTTTCAATATAAGAAAATGAATGAGGATGAAATTTTAGTTTTGGAAGTCAAAGATGCACTATTTGCATTAGTATGCCATTTTTCAGTCTAGTCCCTTACAGGGATATGACCGCAAAATTTGTTGTTGTTGTTGTTGTTGTTGTTGTTGTTGGTACTGCGGATTAAACTCAGGTCCCTTGCAAGGCAGGCACAAATCCCCAGCCCACCAACTTTTGAAAGAATGACAAATGCATAACAGAACAAATTTGATACCAACACTGTCTTATTTTTATCAATTACCACTTACCGAGCATATGCTATTCTATGTTACGAGGTATACTGATATACTGAACTCCACTATCTTTAAGAAATTAAAGATACGTATGGAGTGCTAAAGTGTCTGTTACTAACCAAAATATCTCTGAACAGATACGCTAAGCCTTTCGTCCTGGAATGTGTCCTTTTCTATGGATTCGAAAGAAAGAGGAGAAGGCAAATTACCTGAGAGATTAAAAATTCTGCTTTATTTTTCCTGACGCTAATAAGTGTGCCTCTCTTGGAATTCTGCACAAGAGCCCCCCAGTCAAGCTCTGTGATCCATTCTTTATACATTGTGAAAATGAGCAGTGTTAGAGAGCTAGGCAGTGGCCCAGAGTACCTTTCAAAACTAGCAACCCATATCTCGCATACAGTACAAAAGATTTTGGCCAATTCAAATTTTAAAACATACACATGCAAAGATGGAAAAATTTAAACTCTTGTAATTCTACATGAAACATAGTCTTGGACTTTACCCAAGTAATAGTCAAAGCAGCTGGTAAAACCGTATCTAACACTGTCATTGCAGTTTACTTACTTATTTGTATCTTTATCCTCTTCTGATAATGTTTTTTTTTTTTTTTTTTTAAGGGAATAGGACCATGGTCTATGAGAGTATACCTGCTATTACTTAGTTAAATCCCAGTTCATAGTACAAATCCTGTCTGAGGCCAAGAGCATTTCTAAAATACAGGGTTTGAAGACGTGATGTAGAACTGAGCTTTGGTTGGCCAACTACCTCGGGTCCTCCCCAAGGGAAGAAAGGACTAGACCTCACTGTAAGACCTGGGTCTCTAATCTCAGCTTTTCCCTTCTGCTTGACATAATTCTCATGTGGTGTACCTTTCAGTTACTCCATTGCCAGTTGTCAGACCAAGTCAACCTTCTTTGACCTACTCATAAGCACCAACACTTCCTTAGGTATGCCCGATTCAGTAGTCTGCTCACCTTAGAATTTGAGTGAGTGATAGGAATGGCCTAAATTATGGATAGATATCCTGAAAATGAAAGTTATATAAGATAATTTATAATATTACTCTAGCAATTCTGGAAAATGGCCAACTCTTATGAAATTAATTGGTCCCATGTCTCCAAGGGAAAATCCAATAGTTGCAACTTTCTTTTTTGGTTTTTTTGAGACAGGGTCTCTCTATGCAGTTGAGGCTGACCTGGAACTCACTATGTAGTCCAGGCTGGTCTCGATCTCACAGTGATCCTCCTGCCTCAGCCTTCCAAGTGCTGGAATTACAGGCATGCACCACCACGCCCAGCATCAACTTTCTTTTTTATTAGATGCCATCTTAGATACGTCTGCATTATAATAATTTATGTTCTAAAATCCATTATTTCTTTGTACAGATAAAGTTTTGGTGTAACTGCCTCGAACAGAACATCAATTAGGCAGCTTTGAAAAGTATCTTGAAAGTTGCAAGGTTGGCAGATTTTTTTGTTGTTGTTCTCGGTAAATTTAAAAAATTCCTTCCCTCTACATTTTCTAACATACAAGATTTGGGAATCTGATTTACTGTTGCAAAAGCAAAAATAGTTGTTCTCATGATTCCTTTAAATATTAAAAGTTTCACACAAATCACTATGGGACAAAATTAATCATTTAATTAGAAGTTATGAGATCACTTTTTGCATGGCACTTCCAAGTCACAACCATTAGAAACATAATTAAATCATACTTTGAACTACATCTCTCAGTTTTCAAATATGTTCTAGTAACACCTCCTCCTCAAAGAGTGAATCCATTCGTTCCCTCTACTGTTACCTTATTACAGCTCTGTTACTGTTTTGCATAAAAGATATGCTGCATTTTCTTTTCCTCCAGTGATTAACAAAGGATTTGACACAGGATGATGTTCAATCAGACACACACCAAAAATTTTCAAGGCCGGGACAAGAGTATAAATGGAAACCATATGCATTGAAATATTTATCAAGTTTTACCCAACAGTCCCACAGTCTCTTCCCCAGGGATCATCCTTAAGACATGCAGAATAAAGAATCTCCTCACCTGAGTTATTTCTGAGCCCCATTGAGTAGCAAATCCAATCTGTAGGAACAGAGAAGTGGGGTACAAAGCCAAGAGTACAGAGTGAAGACTGAACTCACCCAAATCCAGTAGACCACAGGTGGAAGGGTGTGCTTGTTTTCTCTCCAGCCTCATTTTGTGGACTCAGGATTTTCAGGCAGATTGAAGTACATCCTACAACTGTGAAATATGAGTGATTTTATTTTGATGATTTGGAATACCTTTGCCAAATTTGTATAAAAGCAACCATTCTTTGTTTGATTCCAGATATAGTATAAGCTATGATTTTTCTCTGACCTGTCAACACACACACAAATTCACTTTTTCCCTCTCTCTCTCCCTCCTCTCATATTTAGATACACAAGTAGCCACGTCTGCAAAACACAGATCCACATGCGTGTGCACACACACATGCATGCACACACACTTGTGAACTCTTGCTCTCTGTACTTTTAGGGCACCCAGTTCCATTCTGACATCCTTTTCCCTTAATTTCCATTTTTACTCAATTGGCTACACCTTGTCTTTTTTACAAAACCAAAAAAATGCAGTAATAGAGGAATTTTGTTTCAGCAACTTGTGATGTGTGGATGTGGATCTCTCATAAATATAAAGCAGAGCCTACTGCCAGGTCCATTCCTGCCTGGGGCTAAGTGTGTGGCACTGTGCTCACTAAATGTTAGTTAAATCAAACAAAACCGATAATAAATAAACCACGTTAATAATTTCTAAAAACATGGGTGGGTTTTCTTTTGTCATTAAGCATCTTTTAAACTTCAGTGTGTAAGCATATTTAAGAGGAAGCAGCTGTAAGAGAGAGACTTGAATTCTCCCAGGGAAAGGAAATAAATCAGATATAATTCTGGATCTTCAATCTACGAGAAAACATGATGAGAATTTCGGGTCATAACATTAAACCCTCTTACCTGGTAGGAAAATGGAATAACTCAGGTATGGTTTTCCCATTTGGGTTATAAGTTTATAATCCAAATAATTTTTTACCCAGACCATGGAACTTGGCTGCTGTATTTTATTATACAGAATTCAGGTTGTTGATATTTTCTGGAATCCCTCCCATGCTCTATGGATTTTTAAAAAGTATGTACAGTGTTTTTATACAAGATGTGGATCACATTTGGGCCACCATGAATACTGACATGTTTCCTTTCATTCTCAACTAAACTCCATTCCACAAAGTATTAGCAATCTGTTTTGATACCAAAGCCAAATAGTTACAGTTGCAATAATGAATATTTGCTACACGGCACTGGCAGAAAATGGCACAGAAATACAAACCTAAACCACCTCAGACCATTTTCTTCCTGCCGAATCTCACCCATTATTTCCAAATCCCTGTCGCATATATTTTTCCTAGTGTCACTGGTTGAATAGTGCAAAGAAATCTGAATCAGCCTTTGGAAAACACTGAAAAAAGTCAATCATTATCCTACTGTCTCATCTTTTGGAGAGAAAAAAGATGCAGTGAAGGAAGGCTGAGGTTTATTCTGACCGTTCTGCAGGAAGCATAAGTAGATGATTAAAGATACAAAACTGACTCTAGTTCAGGCCATGGTTAGTTTCTTTTCACATCAAATGCTTAAGACATTATCATTCAACATGCATAATAAGTTACGACTCACTCAAATTCTCTTCAAGATAATCTAGATTTTATCGATAAGAATAATGAAAAGCATGTGTAACTGAAATAGAGTGAATTGAAATCATTGTGTCACTGCTAAGTTTTTGGCACTGTACCCATCCCCAAATTTCTCTCTGCCTATATTTCTCATCAAAGATGAAGATAAAAATGATAGGGATTTTTTTTTGAGTTTTTCAAGGATTAAATGAGTGAATACCTATAAATGCTTTGAAAATTCTTTTATAATTCTGACTTGTTAAGATCATGTATTTGTTGGTTTCTTTCAGTAAATATTTGTGTGCCTAGTTCATGTAAAGTATTAGTACAAGAATATAATAATGAGCAAAAAAATTAAGGATTGAGGTTATGATTATTATTTCAAATTATTATGTGATATCTCTAAACTATTTTGCCATTAAGTATATGATCTATGTTCATGGGGCTGCTTATCCCCAGTGGCTTAGCAGAGAACTTAGCACAGATCTTCTGCTTAACAAATGTTGATGGAATGAATTTTGAGTACATGGATCACTGCAGTGTTAGTTAGCAAGCTCTAGATTGGAAATTGGGCTGTGCAAATGCCAAGACCTAGTTCGTAATGTACAGTACTTTGTGACCTTGAGAAATTTCCTGAAACTTTCCCATCTAAAAATCAAGAAAGTGAAATTAGAAAAAAAACACTGAGATCTCTTCTGTGATTCTATAAAGTAACTGGAATGATACACTATTTATTTTACTAGTTCTAATTACATTTTTCTTAAATTTAATAAATTTTAGTGTTAGAGTAGAGCTTAAAAAATATAAGAATATGACAGTTCCCATATCCAAGTCACCTAATTTCCCTTATTCTTAGCATTTTGCATTGTTCTAGTACATTTGACACATATAATGAAACTAAAGTGCAATCATTCAGATTTCTTTTTTGCCAAAATGTCCCTTTTTTCCCCTTTCCTAAGGATTCCAGGGCTGGGGATTTCCATGAGGTGTCCTACATTACATTTAGTTGTCATGTCTCTCTAGTTTCTTCTACAATGTGACAATTTCTCAGACTTTCCTTGCCAGTTTTGAGGAGCACTGGCCAGGAATTTGGTAGATTGCCCTTAAATTTAAGAGTTTTTAAAGTGTTTTTGTCATGGCTAGAGAAGGGTTATGGATTTGGGGTAGGAAGGCCATGGAGGTAATTCATACCTATGTTGTTAATATGATCATCAATTTAAAGTTCTGTTTCAAGTGCCAGAAATTTAGCTCAGTGGCTCTGCTGCCTGCCTGGCAAGCCAGAGGTCCCAAGTTCAATCCCTAGTACAATGAGTAGGTAATAATTATATATAATTTTAATTTAATGTACCATGTTAAGGAATATCTCTTTGCTGTATGTGTAGAATAACTTATTTCTTTGAATAAGAAAATATTAAAATATATTTACCTTAATGTTTTATTTTACAAAGTCCCCTTTATCACAGATAAAACAGAGATGAAAATCCATGTCTTCTTATAAATAAATAATAATACTAGCTTAATGGAGGCAAGATCTATATATTAAATTTAAAATGAGAAATATACCCTTGAATTTCTTTTAAATTACCTGCATACTTATAAAATAATGTATCTATGCTCAGCTGTGTGGCCAGACATATGCCACAAAATAAGTGTGGCAAGTTAAGCATTTTTATATTCATTCCTCTTTGTTTTTATTTATTTTATTTTATTTTATTTTATTTTATTTTATTTTATTTTTTGGTACCAGGGATTGAATTCAGGATCTTGTGCTTGCTAGGCAGGCAGCAGAACCACTGAGCTAAATCCCCAGCCCCCCTCTAACTTTGTTTTAAGGAATGAACTTGCCTAAAAAGATGTTAATATTTTGCTAAGTCCTAGGCATAGAAAGTCTGATGTCTATTTATGGTGTTTTTCGTATAAATGTATGTTATCCTCTGGTGCCATGTGAAACACTAATGTAACTGTCACAAAAATTGAAACATCCAAAGTTTTGTTCATTCTGTACTCTTATTAACAAATTATTTCACTGTGGTGAGGAAGTTACTTTAGGATTAATAATGCCTATAGTATGTACCATTTTCCAATGAAGACATGTCAATGCAAAAACAAAGTTATCAGAAGTAGCTTATTACTAGGGAAATCTGTGCCATGGCAGATTTGAATGAAATAATTTCCAAAGGCATCACACTCTGGCTTCATTGTGTGAACACAGTGAGTTTCAGATAATATCTATGTTTATGTTTGTCACTCCCCGTAGAGTAATCTGATAATAGGAATAGTTTAGTGGTTTTTAGCCCATGTTTGTTCGTCATCTTATTCTAGACAGTCAGTCATGGCCAAGATTATCATTCACAGCATTTTTTTTTTTTTCAAAAACCCATATGTAAAACTGGGCATTGTAGCACACATGCCTATAACCTCAGCATTCTGGGAGGCTGAGGCAGGATCCAGCCTGGACAACCTAATGACTTAGAAAGACCCTGTCTCACAATAAAAAAACTTAAAGGGCTGGGACATAGCCCAGTGGGAAGATTCTGGATTCCATTGTCAGTACAAAGAGAAGTACAAAGAGGAGGGGAGAGGAGGGAAACGGAGGAGGGGGTAAAGCAAATCCCTGATTTGCTCATTCCATGAAATATTTCACCCTGACTGATTATCCTACCTATGTAATCCTGGGAAATTTCCTTCACTGATTTTCATAATTTTGTATAAAAGATTAAATGAAATTTAAATGTATAAAATTATTTTAAGTGTATAAGCCAGTGAGCAAACTAGCAATTCTTTATTCACAAGCACATATAAACATACTTACAGTCATTTCTTATTTATCGGGGGCAGTGAACAGACTTAGGACCATCTAAAATTATCATTTTGTATTCCGTCATGAGATCCTCAAAGATATTTTCAGTCTATTACCTGGTCCTTTAATAATGGAACCTTATCAGGCAAGTGAAAATGTATCAGAAAGTGGACCTCTCAGTGTTCAGTGGAACAAATGTGTAAGAGGTGATCAAAATATGGTGGCTGTTTAATTTTTTTAATGTATTACAGTAAGACACATACATAGCCATTAGTTCTTCTCAAAATATACCCCCAACACACTTCACACTTAACCCATCGTTCTTGCTAGTATGGAGCAGTTGTGGAAGTCTTCTTTCATGAGTGCCTTTACTCAAGTGATCAAAATACAAGGAATGGTGCTGTGGAGTGACTTCCAGTGGAAAGGCAGGCTTGTGAAAAATTATAGTGTGTCCTTATCCGTTTTACTCATTGGATCTGACACTGTGGCATTTATGGCTCTTCCCCAAAGTTAAAATGACCTTAAAGGTTAAATGTTTTGAATCAATCCAGGACACTGAGAGAGCCGTGGCTGTGTAAATAAGGACACTTGTGAAAGAAAACTTTCAGAACTGTTTGAGAAAAGTGACAGGACTGATGGTATAAGCGTGATCAGTTATGGGAAAGTACTCTGAGAAGGATTAATGGCAGTGTGTCTTTTACTGCAATAAATTTTTAGAAGTGTAACAGTCACAACACTTTTCTATCATAGCTTGTATTCCAATGACAAGAGTCAGTTTATTTATTTTCTTTATGTATGAGACATTGGTTTGTAGTATGATATTTTAGAAACACGGTTGTTGGTAGACATTTCCCATTCCATAGAAAGAGTCCTATTTATTGATTTGAACCACTAAAGCTAAGTGATTAAAAGTGTGTGAAATGCCAGGCAGAGGAAACAAGATCCAGATGAATCCTTTTATAGAACAGCCCTTAATAAGAGGCCATTTCGCCTTACATTAGTATTTCTGATATATTTAGGAAAGTAGAAATAAGCAACCTCATCCCACAGTCTCACTCATACACCTGGAGCAAAGTAAACATCCTGTACTGCAGCCAACTCTTGGTGATATGACTAATAAACAGTAAATATTTATGCAGACAAGACATCATTACCAGAGGACCACTGCCCCTTGTACCCAGAGCCCAATCCATTTGTCATGAGCTTTTCAGTGTGACATAAAAACTGACCACGGCATCATACGAGTGACATGGAATAGCAGTTCCAAGAGCGGCCTCAGCTAGAAAGGCAGCCTGGAGATATTTGGGAAAAGAAACTCAGAACCAGCTAACAGGCAGAAGGATGAAAAATAAGAGTAAATAGGAGATAAATTTAGAGAAAAATGGCAAGTCTTTATTGGATATGGAAAAAATCACCAAAATCCTGGTGACTGGCTTATGTGGGAGGAGAGCTAAGTGGACCCAAGGGAAGGTAGGACACGGAAGTGTTTGCTTTGAAAGTTGATCTCTCCAGACTTGGTATCAGACCTCAGAGTGAAAAGCGGGCATCAGCACTTTCCTGGTCATTAAACTCTTGAGGTGACATTAACATGGTGTGACTAGTCTGTGGATTACTTGTGAACAGTGCCTGTGCATGTTTCATCTACTTCTCTCTCAAACTTCTGGCACTCAGTCTTCTGATACAGAGCACAAATTGGATAAATACACAGACTACAGTTCCTCTCTTTTTGATGCGGATGATTTTTGTAACGGGCATGGCAGTACAACTCTTTGTGAGGAGAGCAATGGTTTTCTCAACTGTGGATCTGGGCAGAGCAATGAGAACAATGGGGTTTTATACTTTCTTTTCCTAAGCACATACCAAAAGATCTGTATCTATTTTCTTAAAGAAAAACATAAAAGGAAAATAGAGAGATTAGTACTCAGAAAGATAAAAGAAAACTTTTAAATGTATTTACCCTCTAAATTTTTTAAAATCATCTATGAAGAAATACATATATAAAGTGCAATATATTGTAAAGATTATTTTTCTGAGGTAACAATCTAAGAGAAATTTTTTGTATGCTTCTTTACCCCATAAAATATTTAAATATTGTATTTGCATATATTTTGAGGAATCATCTGAATGTTTTATTTCAGAACATAAAATTGAATGGGGTTATCTATGTAAATATCCTCATGAACTGATTATACATAGTTGATGAGAAACTGCTGATTTCTCCTAATGTTATCGGTGGATGTGACATTAGTGATATATTTCCAAGTAGAGAAAGATAATACCACTCCCCCCCATGTTATTTTGAATGCAGACAGCACCACAGGGACACCAGCAATATCCACGACGACAAGTGTGGAAATCCGCAAAAGCAGTGTTATGACAACTGAGATCACCTCTAAAGTGGAAAAAAGCCCCACGACAGCTACTGGCAATAGCTCATGTTCTTCCACAGAGACTGAGGAAGAAAAGGCAAAACGGCTTCTTTACTGTTCTCTATGCAAGGTTGCTGTCAACTCTGCCTCACAGCTGGAGGCGCACAACAGCGGTAAGATGCAGCGATTTCTTTTCTGTCTCAACAACTCTGCAATTATCTTCCTCTGAATAGATTAGATCTTTTGCAGCAGGGGACTAAGGGGTAGCAGGAAACTGGCAAATATTACATGGAATTTAATAACCATTAAAAAACAAAAATGACAAGGAAAGTATCATTTATATGAGGGCAAGAAAAGGTTTCCAGAGCCTGTAGGCCAGTGGGTGTGTGTGTTTGTGTGCGCACGCGCATGCACTTTACTTATCATTAGGAGATAAAAAATATGATTATAAAATGTTTGCCTTTATATGATTTCTAGATTACTTATGTACTTCCATGCATTTATTTGCTTCTAAATGAAATTTTCTAAAATTGTATCCATAATATCATTGCCCAGTGTTTACATAACTCTATATACTTTGGGTTTTTTGTTTTGTTTTGTTTTGTTTTTTGAGACAGGGTCTCACTGTGCAGTTGAGACTGACCTGGAACTCACTATGTAGCCCAGGCTGGTCTCGAACTCACAGCAATCCTCCTGCCTCAGCCTCCCAAGTGCTTGGATTACAGGCCTGAGCCACCATGCCTGGCTGACTCCATATACTTTGGATTAAAACCCCTTTATTATTATTTTTGTGCCAAATAATCTTGTTCTGGCTTACCTGTGTGATCCGTGCACTTGAACTTAAGAAGGTATTTGAGATGGGATATAGCTCAGTGGTACAGTGTTGGCCTTGAAAACGTGAAGCCCTGGGTTTGGTCCCCAGCACCACTAAAACAAAAAGGAAGAGAGCATTTATGAGGTACAGCCATCAAAGTGCAATCTCTACATCTAATATTTGATTTAATCTTCTCATAACTTAAATATATTGTTCTTTTCATTTGACTGAAGTTCAGAGAAGGAAGAGCATATGACCAGACAGAACCATGATTCAAACACATTTTACTCTTACTTAAACACTAACCTTGAAATCAGAAATGAAAATACTGGAATACTCATAAGAAGAACAAGATGCTCTCCCATTATACTGTATCATGGTTCCATCCAGCTAGTGCCTGTTGGGGGCAGGTGGTGTGTGCACAAACACAAATACCAGCTTTTCTTAAGGCCTGGATTGATTGCCAAGATCTACTTTCCTCTAAAAGACTGGGTCCACTGCCAGCATTCTGTCACCAGCTATAATGGGAGAAGGCTCATTTATGAATCATGCCTTCAGTTAATACTGCAGCTGGATGTTGAGTCACTGACCAATCATTGGGTTGCGCTGGTAATAGTCAAGTATTGGCTTCAAGACTCTAAGGCATAATTGCAGATGATTATCTTCCTCCTGCATACACATTAGCTTCAGTCAGGGATAGTTCATGAGTTCAGGAGCTAAGGAACACAGAAAAGCATCTTGCCCCAAGTCAGAATCTCTACCGCGTAGATGTGCCACATGTTTCCTCATGAAAATACTGTTTTTTTCCTGGATGCCTTATACTTAGCCAAGTGTAAATATCATTGGAAGTACAATTTATGTCTTAAGAATTGATCACTCCACGTAGTGACAGAAAATATATTAATTTTCAGGAGGATATCAATGCTCATAGATTACAGTGCCCTTTGTGGTTGGAATTCATTTGTAAGGATTTTGGAGTCTGATTTGAATTCTTTTTGTTTTTTGGTTTTTTTGAGCAGTACTGTGGCTCGAACTCAGGACCTTGTGCTTGTGAGGCAGGCACAGTGCCACTGAGCTAAATTCCAGCCCCTTACTTGAATTCTTATGATAAACAACAAAGTAAGAAACAATTAAGGAGTTACTTGAGATACCATATCAGATCAACAGTTTTCATATTCCAATTCTATAGTCCTTACCACTTCTTTGTCAAAATTACACATGAAACTTTAAAAATATATTTATCTATATATTTATCCAAGGACAGAATCCAAAGATTCTGTTACCTTATATCAAGAACCATGGAAGTTATAGTTCTGGGAAAAGAAGTGGAAAGTGCTATCATCGTGTATCACAGACAGAACTCAGAATGACTATAGCAAGCTCATTTGACAGTTTCAGGAGGTGAATGGAGTGGAACCCTTACTAGAGTCAGTCCCTTTATAGGGACCTTCAGCCTAGTCTAAAGAAAACAGCCACTTCCCTACTTTCCAGTCATCTCCTTGGGTTTTCTTATCTCTGTTTCTTTTCCTGAATCAAAGATCTGTTTTTGTTACAGAAGCACCCACCCTAGCCTAATGCTCATTTTAGATCTTGCCTAGACTTGAACTAGCAAGCTATGGCAGCCCTAGAGGTGGCAGAGAAAGAACAAATACATAAGTCGGTCATCTCTGACCCCCTTCATCCACTAAACTCAATATCCAGGCCCTGCTCTGTTATTTGTAACTGCAACACTGCTGAGAGGCACACTGTGTTGGGAACTTTCTCCAGATGGAGATGTGGGTGAATGCAGTCCTCACTGTGTCCTAACAACTGCAGTTTGCCCACTGGCTTTCTCTACTCCGTGTAATTCCATGGGCTGAGTGTAAAGAACTGAGACTCTATATGTGCCCACTTTTCTGCCTGGAATAGGAGCAGTAGTGCGGGATTCAGCACAGGATTAGTTATTACGATACATGTTGATTTGGATTCCCACGTGGGCAGATACTGAGGTAACCATTTAAGTGCTAGTTGTTTTTTAGAGATGCAACAGACACAGGTTAGGAGAGGGGGGGAAAAAAAAAAAAAAAAGAAAGAAAGAGGGAAAGGACGGCAGCCTACTCCAGATGCATCTCTTAGCTAGCTATCAGCATGGGCAGCTGAAGCTTCCCAGACAAAGCTGTTAACCTCAGTTCAAACAGCTTCACTGCTTCAAACATAGAAACCTCGACTGTTCAGAGAAAATGACAGATCTGGATTAACACTAGTCTCTTCATCTTTATAGTCATTGTTTGTTTATACTCTAGCTTACATTTTTGAAGTGATGTAGTTCTATTAGTGGCCAAATGCTTGAATTGTGCCCTTAGTGACCTCAGTCTTTGGAATTATTATGTATTTACTAAGGAAACAAAAACTTAAGAATTTTGTGGCTCAAGCTGATGTGATGTCTGTTGTAGGTCAAGTAAAAACAGTGTACTAACTTATATGTTAAATCTTATTGGTAATCACATCAGCCGTTTAAAATATAGACTTATTTTTATGCAGTAGACCTTCATCACTATTACCTAGAGCTCCCAATTTATGGTGTCAGTGGAAATTGTACTGCCTAGGTTCTGTAGTCCATTTAATTATTTTTTTTCTCACCTCTCTTTAAAATGCATTGTCTTATTGTCTGCACTCAGAAAAGACTGCAATCACTGGCCTAATTTTATAATTGCACTGCCCCCTAACTTCTCTCTTACCCCTGCAAAATAACTTCAAAAGATTCTCAACTTCCTCTAGAGTCATTAGAAAAAAAAACACTGTTAAGTTTAGGTGTGTGCCTCCTATCCCACACTCTGGGAGGTTGAGGTAAGAGGATAACAAGTTCAAAAAATTGAGGGCCGGGGATTTAGCTCAGTGGCACCACGCCTGCCTTGCAAGCACAAGGTCCTGAGTTCTGTCCTGAGTACCAAAAACTAAAAAATTAAAATACATAAATAAAAGTTGAAAAGGGCTGGGGATGTAGTTCAGTGTGAAGCCCTGGGTTCCATCCTCAATCAATCAATATATATTAGATACAATATATATCAGTTCAAAAAATATATGCAAATGCACAAGAATTTATGTGATATTGCTTTAGCGAGGTTATTCAGACTTTTGAAAATGCACATATACAAATCAAAAATAAAAGACCAGTACATGATAACCATTATTAAGAATTTGATATATTTCTAGTTGATAAAATTACATTTATTGTTTTCCTTTTGGAAATTTTCTGTGTTTGCTTAATGGCCTACGAAATTATTCCTAATGAAATATTTACCAATTTAAAAAATATTTTGTCCATTTTCCTTATCAAACTTTCCTTTATACTGGTACTTAACTTCAGAGACAGTAAAAACACAAGTCCTACGGATGGGGAATGAAAGCAAGACTGGCCCCTTCCTCCCAATATGCCTTTGATTTATACAAATATATAAGCAATAAATATCTTGTCCTAAAGTACCCACAACTAAATAAAGAAGCAAAAAGCAAATACTGGATATTGTTTCAGAGCCTTATGACTTGCTGAATTTAAACTGCAATGGAAAATGGTTTCTCTTTTCTGAAATGAGGAAGCTTCATATGAATGTTATTATTAGTGTCAGTCTTTAAAAATGACAAGAGGCAAATACTCCACTTGGCTTCTTGCCACAGCCAGAGGAGGAAAGAATCAAGTGCAGAAACAGACATGTTAGCACTCTGCCTAGTGGTCACAGGAGTAGGCAGGAGACCTGCAAGGTATTTACAGTGATGTTGAAACCAGAGGTGATACATATCACTGCCCGTTGCAAAGCAAAGCCACAGCCTTTTGAAGTATCATGATTAATGGAAATATGCTATACAAAAAAAGAACACTGAAAATAAGAGGCAAAGGAAGGGCAATTGAAAGACAAAATCAAATTTGAGAAGATGATATTAACATGTAACAAAAAATTTCAAGCTACTGTGGGAATTTGTGTGTAACTGCATCCACATGACTTAGAATTAGAGTGACTTAGAGTGGACTGTTAGAGATGTTGCTAGGAATCCACTTTGTACTTACCAGGGGCTCCAAGTACTAGCATTTTGACTGCGTATAAGTAACGTAACCTTTCTAAATCTCAATTTGTTATCTCTACAATGCTAGTAGTAATTCATACAGCAGTTGTGCACATAGGAAAAAATATGTAGCATCTGCAGTGATTAAAGATGGAATGAGTTTTAATAATGACTGTTCATATTATTCATGTACATTTTACCTCTTGCAAATGTAAATACATTCAAATTAAGAGTATATATATTTTTTGAATTTTAGCTATATTTGGAGGAAATACATCTACTTTATGACCTATTCAAGTTTTAAAATCTTATAAAACTACCAAACAGCTACTTAAGTGTGACAGTGTTACTAAGTACATGAGGTTATAGTGCTCAAAAGTTCAATTCTATGTGATAAATAGTATTCCCAGAGTTAAAGGTATTAATGAAGATCTTCCTCATGACTCAGCATATCCTTGAGTGTGTGTGCGTGTGTGTGTGTGTTTGTGTGTGTGTGCGCACGCGCATGTGCATTTGAGAGAGAGGGGAGATTCCAGTTCTTCAGTCTTCTTGCAAGACGCTGACTTCTTTTTCTTTCCCTTAATGCGTCGACATGAGCATTTTAATAGCTATGTAAAGGAATACGGATATTCAAAACAAGCAATCTAAGATATAATCATGTACTCTGGACTAAGTAAAGTTATGGTCTTTTTGAATGGAGGAGACATTGGCTGTAAGCCATTTGTTTTTTCATGAATTTGGCTGTTACTTAACATGGTACGATCTGCAGTGCTCCCAACATTGTTTCTTCATTAACATGCTGGTCTGGAAACCTGACCCGTAGCTTACAAAGAATTTTTTCGAATGTTCACAGAACTAACAATGTAGTAAATACAAAGAAGCAGCAGAAATTACTAAATAAGAATATTTAAAAATCACTGAGAAAAATAAAATGCATTTATCAACTCAAAGAAGAAGGAAAATTTAAGTACTTTTCTGAGGGAGAACTCCCATCATGAACTGTATACAACTATGGAGATCTAAAAAAAATGTTAATGGCTGATAAATGGAATTACATTAGTTATGTGTGGCAGCCTGAATATGTTAATGGTTTGCTAAAATGAAGCACACTGATTTATGA